TTTTTTTTTTTTTTTTTTTTTTTTTTTTTTTTTTTTTTTTTTTTTTTTTTTAATTTCCCTGCTTTTTGAGTTATATTCGCTGGAAGTCTTGCTTGAAGAAGGAAAATAATAAAATAAAATAAACTTTTTTAAAAAACTAAAAAAAAAGTGTTAAAAATATTTATTTTTATTTTTATTTTAAAAATTAGCTAAAAATGGGAATATTTCATTCGTCCACTCATTTTAACATAAAAAAAAACGGTTATTATTTTCAATAAAATAATTTTTTGTAAAAAAAATAAGTTTAACAGCACATAAATTAACTATTAAATAACTTTACCAAAAATCATAAATTTCAAATAAAGATTTGGATTTAATGTTATTTTCTCTAGAATTTTATCAGTTTCTTATTGTGTATACTTTATAATTCATTAATGCATAAGTTTATTTATTTATTTATTATTATTTATAACGGTATTTGGAGTAAGCTCTGAAGGGTTAAACAATGTTTTTTTGTAAATTTAGAGTTAAAAATTGTGATATTAAAGATTTAAAAGTTGTAACATTCTTTTAAGTTTATTTAAATCACCGGAAATTCAGTTTTAGAGTTAAAATTAATATTATTATTTTTTATTTCTTAAGCAGAAATATAATCTGTCAATTTATAAATTATTTGAGATCATAGAATTAAACATAAAGATATTATTTATAAAATAAACAAAGATGTGCGCGATGTGTACCATACGAAATTGTTTAATGTGAGGATCAAGTCAAAGCTCCTTAATAATGGCCAAACAAAATACACCTTAATTAATATGTAACATTGATAGTTATAATATATTAAGTACTCATTTATACTTTTAAACTTTCAAGTTTCAACATTACATTTGTAAAAATCTCAAACAAATAATGAAATTTATTTAAAATCCTTAATTCATAACTTTCCACGGAGAAAATTTATTTATATACAAACCATTAATAAATGGTCTAAATTAATTAACTTTCGAAAACTTGCACAAATTACTTAGAGTGCTACCGGAGAATAATATTTGTAAGTGTATTATAAGTGAACGAAGAGAGTTTCTAATTAATTAATTGCATCATTTTCAACTTTTTTGGGTCTATTCTTTCTAACAAATTAAATAAGAAAGAAGACTTACCACACCCAATTAGACCTTCAAATTATTTAGCTTGGTCAATCATTTTCTCAAGAATATATGTCAAAGTATCTTAATATTGAATTGAATTCCCACTACCCTCACTAACTGTGCGTTATTTGTAGAAAATCTAAATGTCATATTTGACTTTGTCATTTTAAATTCAATCTTAAACCATAGGTTAATGCATCTATTCCTCTGATACAAGACATGATGATCCTTGTAACATTAACATATCTAGAAGAGGAATTGATTAAACATCTAATGTTGTCACATAATCAGACCATTGATGATTCATTATATTCAGCCCTATAATAATGTTAGACGAACTCAACTCTCCACAATGGTATGATATTGTCCACTTTGAGCATAAGCTCTCATGGCTTTGCTTTGGGCTTCCCCAAAAGGCCTCATACCAATGGAGAGAGTATTCTTTGTTTATAAACTCATGATCATTCCCTAAATTAGCCGATGTGAGACTTTCATCATCGAACATATTCAACTAGCAATAAGTATTCATTTATTTTGAAATCAATATCAGGCAAAATGACTAGTTAAATGCACGTAGTTATCACAAAACCAACTTCTGCTTCAGTAAAAGAGGTAAAGAATCATCTCACCTGGAAGTCATTTAGTTGACCGTTACAAGGGGTCGCTGGAGTTTCGCCACCAGATTGTGTGCTACGGCGTCGATAAACTCCTCGGTGTTTAAGTAAAACTCCCTTGAAACCCTGCAAAAATCGTACACATATAAGTAATTCCAAACTACAAATGTCAAGAGAGGTGAATGAGATGAAATGTTTAAATTGTTACTTGGGTCCATGTATCAGCAAGGCAAGATCCTTTATCATTTTCCCGGATTCCACCGTCTCAATGCATGAAGCTTCCAACTTCTGAACAAAATCCAGTAGCCTCTCATTTTTATCTAATTTGGCCCTGAAGACATTTAAAAACAGCTAGAAATTGTCAGTTTCTAGGTAGTACACTACTCTACAAAGCCCCATTATGAATATGTATCGAATCATAAAGTGGTTGGTCATGGTGCCTCTCTATAGTGAAGAAGCAGAACTGTATTCCCACCGCTATTTAGATGGAACATTGGTTAATTTAGTAGAAGATCTAAGTAAGGAATACTATCTCCATTGGTATGAAGTCTTTTGGGAAAGCCTAAAGCAAAGCCATGAGAGCTTATGCTTAAAGTAGATAATATCATGCTATTGTGAAGAGTCATTATTCCTAACCTGCAATATTTTAATACTATGCTCAAGGCCCCGTGTCCATGCAAACTATTGGTACTGGTTTCTTGTCCCTTTTGATGTAATCGGTAATGCCGCGTTACAGTGCCATGAGCCGCCTCAGCTTCCAATGTCTTCCCATCAGATGACAACTGCAATAAATCTCAACTTTTAAGGCGTTTATTATGAAAAAAATTAGTCCATGGAGACGATAAATTTCACATTCTCAAGTATTAAGTACCCACCAACACAGAAGTCATTAGCCCCAAAGAACCAAATCCTGCCCATGGAAAATAAGCATTCAGACTCAATGTTGACTCAATGTTGTTGGATGAAAGTCCCATCTCGGCTAATTTAGGGAATGATCATGAGTTTATAATCAAGTAATACTTTCCCCATTGGTATGAGGCCTTTTGGGGAAGCCCATAGCAAAGCCATGAGAGCTTATGCTTAAAGTGAACAATATCAAACCATTGTGAAGAGTCGTGTTTGTCTAACAGATGCAAACAATAAAAAAAACAACATATCATTTTTATCAGCAACGAAATACGTGAGATGTTAATGTCGAAAAGACCTTAAGAATGAAAACAAGGTATGACGAAGTAGAAGTTCTATAGTTAATAATATTGTTATAAATTATTGATATTAGAAGTTATGAAAGCATGCAATATAAGAGAACCCAGGCAATTAGAAAAGTTGATAGCATCACCCTGTGCGAGTAAATCACTCTGAACATCCCCATCATAATTTTTGCAAGCCCAAACGTATCCACCTTGACTTTTTATAGCATAGGCTACCATGTCATCAATAAACCGATGTTCGTACCTAAATGCCGAAGAAAAATATATTCAGCCATAGGCAAATAGATTAGGCATAACTGTAGAGAATCATGTATTTAAATGTAATGAACCATATCAAATTTTCTTCAAACTTCTGCTTCCACTTTTCCTCGTACACTTCTTGAAATATATCTTTAAACCTGCAGGGCAGTATTAAAATAAATTATCACTTTGACGATTTCTAGGAAACAGAAAGTAGATATCAACAGCACAAGCAACTAGGTACAGGGACTTAAGAATTGTATTCTTAGTGCTCAGATAAAAGGGCCACTTCTTCTCAAATGCCAGTGACATTGACGACTCTGCAAATGCTTGAATAGACTGCCAATTGCGTAGGAACGAGTTAAAAGAGTAATTTATGTGATACAAAAAATGCACAAGTTCGAAGAAATAAATAAAAAAACCGACCTCGTCAACATTATACATTGTAAGCCTAATGCCTGGTCCTTTGAAGTCGTAAACCTCGAGCAATTCTCGGGATGACAAGACAAAGGTTAGACAATGAAAATTACCAGGAACAATTCTCGGGATGTTTTGACATAAAATAGGTTCTCGGAAAACAGTATCTGTACAAAATGTAATATTATTAAGAAGCTTATACTTTTCTTATACTTTCCATCCACAATCACATCATTCATAGTTTGAACAACTTCCTACCACTTTTGAACGGCCAAGCCATTTAGCACAATCAAATAAATAATGTTGAATCCAAAATAAGAATATCCAAAATATATAATAGTTGAATATCCCCAAGTCATAATATTTTATATCCAAATCCAGGAACGGGAAAATAAGCTACACAATGTTATGAAGGAAAAATCATTATTCTCCAAAAGATTAAAATCGAAAAATTTTCGTTCAAAAGTAAACATACTTTCTCTTTTATCATTGTCCATATGATCCTCGTCATTTCATCACCTAATTGTAAAGGAAAGAAAAAACGAAAATCAGTGAAGCTGTACCAAGCATAAAAATGGAGAAGACAAGTTTACAAACACATGAATCTGAATAATTCAATAATCATAACTAGAAAAGTCAAGCACATATAGAAATGTTCAAAGCGAAAAAAAAAAAAAAAAACAGAGTTCAATGAGTTTTAACTAGAACACAATACAAAGTTCACTCAATTCACTTCGATAACAATGTAATGACAGACCACAAACATGATATCTTACCGTCCATTTCAACTACAGGACTCGAGACGCGAACTCGAACCAGAAGAAGATGCGTAGCATCGAAGCGAAACAGCAGGGGAGCGAATGGGACAGGGAAGCTGATTCCTGAGAAGGCGTCCATTGAAGAGAGTAGAAGAGGTCAAGGATGAAGAGAAGAGACTGGCACTTGACATGGCTGTTCGTATGAATCTGGCTTTCATTTCATCGCTGAGTTTCGAAATGAGAATTTATAGTGTGGGGTTTGCAAAAAGTCTCAAGGTTTCACGAGGCAGGTTTATCCCGTCCATCTAACATCTGTTTGTTATTATTATTATTATTATTATTATTTTCTAAAACTCATATAATAAATAAATAAATAAATATATATATATATATATATATTCGTTTATTCATGAACTATGGATTTAATTTTTAATTAGATTCTACTAATATTTAGTTTATTTTAATTTAATTTTGAGTTGGTGAAGTTGTCTACCGTTCTCAAGAGCGATAAGAAACTGAAAGAGAGAATGTGTATATCTTCTCCGTAAATAAAAGAACACTTTATAATCTCGTTTCTTTTAATTCCTATAAGTTTCAATAAATGGTGTATATTGGATAAATATATATATATATATATATATATATATATTTAGCCCACAAATGAGAATATCGAAATATTAATATAATCAACTTTACTATAATCCATCGACGAGGAGAAACACCAATTCAAGCCGAGGCTCGATGCTCAATCAAATGCAAGCATGAAAAAACAGAGGAAAAGTTTTGTCGAGTTTGAAATTGAGTAAAACAGATTTTTGATGATAGATAGATTGTATTTCATACGCTAAATTTGAAAATGTATTTTGAAAACTATGAGCACTTATCACAATCGCACTTTTACAGCAGCAAGACAACAATTGTGTGACATTTGTTTTAACCCAATGAACAAGTCAGCCGTGAGAAATTCAGACTTCACAAACAACGTCGGCGTTGCTCGAGCCTCCAGTTAAAAAACAATCTGAAAAAAAAAACAATGTTATAAACTAAAAGTGATTAGGCGGGAACAACAACTTTGATAGTATATAACCCAGATAGGACAAACCCGTTTTTGAGAGCTAATATTATCGAGCATATTGTAGTAATATGTGAAAATACAACAAAGAAAAACAACCAAAATGGTCAAGTTTTACAAAGCATTGATAACAAACAAGATAGATTCTCAAGTCATCAGTAGTCAAGCCATTGATACCTGGAAACCCTTTTTATCCCCTTCTGAAGCTTCTCCACATTGTTATAGGCCCTTCATCCCAAGTCAATTAAATTTGCATTTGCCTGTTCCTGCACAGACTTCACATTCTTCTACAACTCCAGCAGCATGGCTTAAGCAGTGACTTATTCTATCATTCACAACATCCTGCCAACAGAACATCTCATAGTTCATTTTATCATCTATCACCTTGCTGTCTTCTATCCTATACTCGAAAAAAACGTGCTTCAGAAATTCCTACCACAAGCTGTTCATGAAGACCGAGAGGAGCAGTTATTATATACGATATTCCCGGGTGATCCTTTGCTGCTTCAGCTGTTAAGGAAGGAATGTCCTGCAAAACATCATCCATTGGCCATTGCTATCAATCCTCTTACCCAAACAATCATAGAAGAATCAAAGGCCCACCAGCTCATTTCATCAAATTAGGCATCCCACAGTGAGTTACCTGTTGCCAGTGTCGACCGGGGAAGAGAAAGAATGGGCTTACAACGATACGTTTGGCCCCCTGTTCGACACACGATGCAAATGAGTCTCTTATCGACGGTTCGGCCAACTCCTGTGTTGTTTTAGAACAAAGTAAAAGAGAAATCATTAGAACCTCCAGCTCAACTTCCAAACATATCTAAGAATAACTGGAAGCCAGGAAACCATAAGTACAATAGACATGGTTATGGTTGTGACTGTTACTCTTTCTAATCAAATTATTTTAAGATAATGTGTTGAAACTTATGTGCAAGGGGAAGAACTGGAAAGGGATGAAAAAGACAAAAAAAACTACTGGCAGTACGTTGGCATAGAATTCTTTATTAGGGTGTGAAAACCTCTCCCTAGCACATGCGTTTTAGAAACCATGAGCGGAAGCCCGGAAGGGAAAACTCAAAGAAGACAAATGGTGGACTTGGGCTGTTACAAATGATATCAGAATCAAATACCGAGCGATGTACCAACGAAGAGGCTGAGTTCTGAAGGGGGTGGACATGAGGCGTTGTGCCAGCAAAGACACTCCTGGGCCTGAAAGGGGAGGATGGTGAGATCGAAACCTTCTTTATAAGGGTGTAGAAATCTCTCCCTCGTAATGGACTTGGGCAGTTACAGTCCCATACCACTATTCATATTTAAGAGTATCATTATTTATTTTGTATCCTGTATTCATTAGGTCCTATGTTATCTTGAAGGCTAGAGATGTTGTACTTCAAAATGTAGGAAAAAATATATCCATAAACCTATACATATTTCATAAGAACATACCATGTGAGCAGGTTCCACAATAGGGTAACCAGTTTTATCCCTAAACATAGCAACGAATTCATCTGAAATTTTCAAAAAATTCAGAATCACAAGAGAGATTAGCCTACGTAGAACTTAAAATTTCAGGCAAATTCCAAAATTCGAAACCCTAGCTTACTCAGCATGAGGTTAGATTCCCGGCGGCGAGAGCCATGGTCGACGATGATCACGGCATCTCCAGCACCAATCCGATTAGAGCCTCCATTATCCACACTCATGCGGAACCGCGAGGAGAAATTCCTTAATGTAGAGGACCGTCCGATTCCGATCAGAATTGAAGATTTCTGAGATGCGCAGATTGTATACGTTTTTCTAGTTTCCCCTGCTGAAGGACTTCAACGGCGAAACGAACGGCCATTAGAGGAAAATCAAGCAAAGTGAAAAGAAAATTAGGACAAAGATTTTCAGACCTCTTCACGGTAATTTGAGGAGGGATGGATAACGATGTCATGGGTTCCGATCCTTTGCAGAGGCAGCCTGTCTGGAACGATTGACCTGGAAAACGATGTCGTTTAGAGAGAGAAAAGTATATATTCTTCTTTTGTAGAAACGATTCATTTTTATTCCTAAAAAAATAAAATTGGGCAAATATCAATTTATATCAAAATTTTGGGAATATATCACTAAAACTAATTTTCAAGAGTGAAATTATATATTTTATTATAATTTTATTTTAAAATTACCTGTAGTATTTTTACGAGAATATTTGCTAAAACTACCCTACCCAAATCAAATAATAAAATGATTGATACAAGATATTATTCTATAATTAATGGTCAAATATGTTAAGTACCATCAACCAAATAAGATATTAGTTTATAATTAAAGATCAAATATGATATATATAATGAACCGTAAGAATACAGAAATACCATTTATGGTAGGAAGTTGCTATATTATCCCTTTTAAATAAATTTTTAAAATATAAAAAAATAATAAATAAGATTTTTATATGACACAAAAACCACTCTAAAAGAACATCATAAGCTTCACATAGACATATTAACTTCCCAAAATTCAAACACAATTAGTAGTTGGGTTGCTTGGAATTTAAAATATCAATATTCTTATTTTATAAAAATGCATTTTCCATATTTTTAAATTGAATATATATTTATTTATAAAGTTCATGAAATTTGGGAAATATAGAAATTAGAAAATAAGGGAAATGTCCGACTTTGCACGCAAAGATGATTATATATATATATATAAAATAAATACCAAACCAACTAAAATTTAATGAAAAAGGAAACTAAACTGCCTACACGAACCACCTAACTGAAGCTACTCTCACTCCAACTCTCTCTCTCTCTCTCTGCTGGCCGGCGGAGACAATTCTGCTATCACGAGTTTCTTCGCTCTTCACAAGCTTCCTGATCTCTATTGTCTGTATTACCACGCAACTTTCTGTTTCAATTTGCTTACAATTTCCTCTTAATTCGAGTTTTCGCAATTCGAGCGATCGGAAACTTTTCTTCTCCCAGCCGATGAATCGGGCTGGGTTTAAATAGGCGAAACGATGATACGAATCACGATGAGCTCGTTGATGTTCTGTGTGTCCTTTTGTGCTTGAAATGGTGGAGAGATTTGGGTGAACAGGAGAGGAAGCCTAATGAAGCAGAAGGTTGCGCAGCGGAAGGCTCTCTTCCAATGGAGGAGGAAGCTCGTATTTGTTTTTCTGCTTGTATTTTGCTTCGGGAGTCTAGTTATGATGCAGTCTCGGTATGGTCGGGTTATGATGCTGGCGTCGTTGCATCCTCAATCGGCTCAGGGGCCGAAAATCGCGTTTCTGTTCATAGCTCGGAACCGGCTTCCGTTGGACATAGTTTGGGATGCGTTTTTTCAGGTAGTGTTTTCAATATGGTGCTAAAATGGATGGTTATTGGCAATTTTTGTTAATGATTACTTGCCATTTGATCGGATTTAATGTTCTATCATTTTTTCCGTAATTGTGGAGCATTTATTGAAGTTAGCATGCCGTCTTTTTTTTTTTTTTTTTTTTTTTTTTTTTTTTTTTTTTTTTTTTTTTTTTT